ACAACATGCAGTCTTCATTTAAATTATACATTTTTTTAATATGTTCGTATTACTGATTTAACCTTTTTTTATTTGTGTTTTCTTGCTGTAGTTTCTCCCCATGATTACTGTTTAGTGTTTTATTTGTTTAATTATCGTTATATTTAGCAACTGTACTTTGACAATGTATAAATACTTATGAAAATTCATTTTATTCTGCTTAAGATGTGCCACGTTTTAGCAATCTTGACTACTAGAGAGCAAGCACAGTTCATGCCCTAGTTCAGTGATTAACATGGGCGAGAGGAATTTAGTTCCTTCCTTAAGTGACTTTCTATGTTAAGACCAAAATACTCAATATCCACAAAAAACAAAATATACAAGCTGGGGTAGCATACCACAATATCTCAATTACAGTATATAATAAAAAAGATATTTCAATGGCTAGGTACGAAATATAAAAACTTTTACCTGCCTTTCTGTCTAAGTGTATTTAAATGCAGAGATTCCTATTCTTAATTTTCTTTGTGTATTTTTTCTACTTAAAAGTATTACGGTAAAATATGTGGTTCAAGGTTTAACTGTTTATGAAATATGGAAACAGTTAATTGGTGGTTGTTGAAAAAGAATTTTTTTAAATTTAGTGATGCTTGAAACCAAACAGGTATATGTAAACACTTCACCTATCTGTTTTATATCATAGAACGGAAAAACCTTACCTCCAAGTGAAATAAAGTGTGTTATCAATATCGAATTTATTTGTCTTCAGTGTTTAATGATAAACACTAAAAGTAGAAAAATGGATCTAATAAACTCCATAACTCTCCAGACGGATCGAATGAGTCCAATAATAATTCTTGAGGATTTGGTTTGTTATGAATTTCGCGCAAAGCTACACGAGGGCTATCTGCGCTACCGTCTCTAATTTAGCAGTGAAAGACTATAGGGAAGGCACCTTGTCATCATCACCTACCGCCAACTCTTCGGCTACTCTTTTACGAACGAATAGTAGGATTGACAGTTACATTATAACGCCCCCACGGGTGAAAGGTCTAGCATGTTTGGTGGGACAGGGATTCGAACCCGCGACCCGCAGATTGCGAGTCGAGCGCCCTAACCACCTGGCCATACAACTCTTGAGGAATGAAGTAGAAAAGGGAGGGATACAATAAAATCCACAACTATAATGACTGTTTTATAAATTTGCCCGAATTTCTGGTATGTAGAATATATACACATACAACGGATACTTAATAAAGATTAGTTAGAAAGTTTTGCAATGAACAAAATATATAAATATCTAAATATTATAAAAAGTTACTAAATATTGTATTTTACGGAAGTAGGGTTTAAATAGAATTATTTAACTAAATTTTAATTTAAATATCTTTATATTACCATAGTAAGTATTAAACATTTATTTTATCAAATTATTTATTACACTCTTTATACTGCAGAAGTACACACTAACTATTTTATTTCACCAACACAGATTTATATTATTTTCAGTGGTTTCAGGGTATATTCTTAGTATAAGAACATCAATCACATGAATTTTAATGTTAGTGTCTTTTTTCAGATTATAAATGGATTTTATCTCGTTAATTGTGCGGTTACTTTTCAGTTTACGGGATTGTTTGACTATATTAATAGTCTTGTTTGAGAATTCTTTAAAAAGTTATTTAAAATAAAGTTTTTGGGAACTTCGAGAAACCACATTTTGTTGTAGTTGCCTGTAATAAGAGTCACATGAACTACTAAATTTTTATTGTATTGGTTATTCATGGGACTGCATGAGTCACCAAAGTTATCCCGTATGTTTTCTTTTAGAAAAGATCACATTAGCATAAATAATGCAATGGATAGAAGCAATGGTCTATTGGGGCAGTGGATTATGTGATTGCCTAGGAGTATGACTCGCCACTTGATAACATGAGAGTGGCCCTCTTAAGATATAAATTGCATTCCAGATATATAATAGATGTTTCAAAGATTGTAATTTATGAATTTCGACCAACATAGACTTACACAAATCTACTAAGATTTTTGCTATGTTTGTTTAACATGTATTTGTTTTCAACCACATAGACTGTGCTTAAAACAACTTAGAACTAAAAGTATAGTGGTGAGAGAACGTCAATAAAACTCTATCTCTCTAATTGTTTTCCTGGTCGACACTCATATACACACAATAACTTGTTCAAGTGTTTAACTTGAATTTTACTTCGTTTTTGTCTTAATACAAATTTGGATTGTTCACACCTTGTGTTTCACTCTTTCTTTTGAAATAAAGGTTCAGATAAGGGTGAAGAAAATCCAGGCACTGTTTTGTAATAGTTTCTGATGGATCCTCCAGTACTTGTAGTTCGTGTAGGCTACTCTGAGAGAAATCAGGGTAAACTGAGAATACCCCAACATGGAACAGTTTTATTTAACCTATGTGGACATTATATTTTCTGAATTGAGAAAGCTAGTTTCGAGCATCAGCTTACAAATGAGCAAACTCTTTTATTCGTAGGCTCTGCTCATTTCTTAAATGTCAAGCATAATCATGTTATCAGCATCACTTATTTTCTATATAATGTTGTTGTTTTTTCAGACTTACGATAATGATACACCTTCAAGCATTTAAACAGAATACTTTTGCTTTTTGTTTAGAGTTGTATATACCTATTTTACAGGAAAATAGTCAAATTAACCATTTCACAAACAAAAATGGTATATCGTGATGAATAATTTGCATTTTTGTTTAAAATCAACAATTCTTACCCGTAGTTAGGAATTAGTGGTAACCACTTGAAACATTCAATGTTTACACTTCTATATTATGGTTTCTTTTTGCATTTGGTTCAAACGAAAAACAACTTACTTGCTTTGCTCCATTGAAGCTCCATATGAACACTTACTTTTCATGTCGTCTACTTAATCACCACCATCAGTACATCAGTGCTAGTTAAAATTGTCAAAACCTAACTAATGCAACATTTCTGACGGACAATAACGTATTTTGATCATACTGCAAAGCGTATCAGAAGTTTTTCTTAGTTTTCGCTTCAAATAGTTTAAAACAATACTATATTATACACTTTTACCACATAATTAGACAATTCATCGAAAACTTGAAGAATGCATACAGCTATAACAAGATTATCCTAAGGTTTAACACTATATCGTGATTATACACGTCAAATTTTAGAGAAACCTCCCTGACTCTCTTAAGAATCCACTACCGTCTACTTTCTTGTAAAATATGGTAGAGCCAATAATGCAAACCCTTCCCATGTTTAACCCCTTTTAAGTTATATTTCAATCTTTCTCGTGAATTCAAGTTTAAGTTAGATAGTTGAACTTATAAATGTGAGGTAGACTTCTGATTAATATTAAAAGACAATCTTAGACAAGACTTGTACCCCTTTAATGGAAATCTTTATGGGTTTTTATTATGTCGATTATTGAATACCATGAAAGGGAGAAATACCTGGAAGATTAGGAGCCAGCACTCTGAGACCTTTTCTCGATAGTGCTTGGATTAATCCCCCAAAGTCGTAAAATTCTGACTTAATTCCAGTTATCAGCAGAACGGCGGGGCCTGGTTGGTTTGTGTCTACATACTGTATACTTGCAGCACTGTTAGAGCCCAGAGAAAAGGTTGTAAAACTTTGATGCTTCCTGAGGAACTTTAAAATGTCTTTTTCGGCTTCTGAAGACATCAGGCGAAATACTAAGCGAATCGAAGCTATACCACTACAGCGATTAAGAACTTCAGACACGGCCGAACAGGAATGTATAACTTTTGAGAACATTTTCCAGTGCTACATTCACTTGCATTGCTGTTTAAAGCGTCTTTGCAACAAGGCTTTCAACCCCAATATTTAGTTTCTACTGGGTCCGTGAATTTACACTTTCCTCTTATCATACAAGTAGATAAAGGTAAACATGAAAGAGGAAAAGCTTAGTCATTTTGAAGGTTTATCACAAAATGAGTATTTGCTTGTTTTATTGTGAAATCAGAATGCATTATAACTATATAACTTCAGTTATCTGACTGATACGTTATCTATTTGCAGTTTTCTGCAGAAGTCTAAAACATATCGATTCTTTGAGGGGGATCTCGTACTATGTTTCCTCCTAATTATAATTTATGTTTGTTTGTTTGTTTTGAATTTCGTGCAAAGCTACACGAGGGGTATCTGCGCTAGCCGTCCCTAATTTAGCAGTCTAAGACTAGAGGGAATGCAGCTAGTCATCACCACCCACCGCCAACTCTTGGGCTACTCTTTTACCAACGAATAGTGGGATTAACCGTCACATAACAACGCCCCCACGGCTGAAAGGGCGAGCATGTTTGGTGTGACGGGGATTTATAATTTATGACAAGTAATTTAAAACATTCCTAGGTACAAGTTTAAAACACTATCCTCTAAAAATAAACACTATCCTCTAAAAATAAACACACTATATTGGTTGTAAGTTACCTTGGCACAACTTGTTTTAATCGTGATGTTAAACCAAAGCATCTAAAAAAACGTGTAGTCGCTGTTGGGTATGTGAGTATATTTCTACATGTTGGTTTTCCTCCTAAAAAGTAAAAGCAATTCTACTGGTTATAAGTGGCCTTGTCACAAACTGATTTGCTTGTGATGTTAAACCAGAATATCTTTAACATATTTAGTTGCTGATGAATATGTGATTTTTTTTCTACTCTTTGGTTTCACCTACTGTATGTTGGGCAACAGTGAAGAAAATAAAGCTTACTCTAATTCAGGGGAGTATTTGTTTTTGTGCAGAGCTACACAATAGGTTACCTGCACTCTGTCCACTATTGAAATAGAGCCCAGAATTTTATATGTTGTAAGTCCATAAACTTACCACTGATCCAATGGAGGAATTATGGGAGTGAACGTAATACTTAAACACATAGAGCTAATCTTCTGCTGACAAAAATGAAGCTTTATATAAACTTTAGGTACTGTGATAACATGGAAACTGTTGCAATAAAAATAATCTAATCTTAAAAACGTTGGATTACTGTTAACAGAATATATGATTGTACTCTATCATTAATATTAATATTGGTTCAGTGGCAGCCAACTTCTTAATTACAGTAACTAAGTTGGATAAAATTAAACTAAAATAATTAATAATTTTCTTACTTGATTAATATTAATCCAATTTTAGGCCAATACATATCATTTCTGTAGCTGTTTGTTATTAAGCACAAAGCTACACAAAGGGCTAGCGGTGCTCTACCCACCACGAGTATCTAAACCCGGTTTCTAGCAGTATGTCCACAGACATACCGCTGTACCACTGGGGGGCATCATTTCTGTATGAAATAAAACTAACTTTTTTTTTAGTTATGAAACCAAATACATTATTTCTCGATGTTTCATACCATATTAAGTAATGAAATACAATGCTAACGTACGTTAAGTTATTCCCGTATGTTTGATATATTTCTTTGTTGGGCCTGGCATGACCTTTTGGTTAAGGCACTTGACTCGCAACCTAAAGGTCGCGGGTTCGAATCTCCGTCACCGAACATGCTTGCCCTTTCAGCGAAATTCAAACCAAACCAATTCCTTTGTATTTTCTCCGCAAACTCCTTCCACAGTTTTGAAGCTAGCAAGATCGAATTTGGCAGGCGGACTCAGAGTGATCCAGGAATGTCCTTATTTATATGATGCAGCTCCATCTTACCAAGAGGAATAGAAAATCCCCTAAAGATAACCCAGACATAATGAAGGTCTAGGAATAGGTTTACAGGGATCACAGGGCGTCATTTTTGAATCTGTGTTCATATCCCCCACTTACAAGCAAGCGAGACCAAACTTGGCACGTGTGCTCAGGTACCACGGGTGGATAATCTTTTTGTTTCGGCATGACTCCCTCTGCCGTAGCTATAGAAGTAATTGGGAAAAACGGAAGTTCTTGATCGGTACATTTTGGCCTCTGTTAATCATGATGGTCCTTCGAACCCCACAGTGGAGCATTGATTTTATGCTAGTTACGTGCAATATCCTATAGATCTTATGCAAGAACGTGACTTAAGTCACGTGACATCTGTTTGTTGTGCCATGATAGATGGAAATAAATAGCATGCTTGCACTGATAATGGCCTCTCAACAAGTACAACAAACATTTTCAACAAAAGTGGATCACTTGCACAAAAAATGTAAAACAACCTACTTCGCTCTAAAACAATGTTATAGGAGTTAAAAGACATGCCTGGGACTAACATATAGAATTTCAGGTACCCAAATATTTACAATTGTCTAATAAATTCGACATCACCTTACATTTGAAAGACTCTGATGGGCTTTAAAGAAGTAGATGGCTATACTTTATAGCTGATTTTATCAGGGAGCCCAGTTTATATGACTTTGATGCTTGGTGTGAATAGTACTTCATTATAAAAGCAAGAGTAAGTACAAAAAAGTCAAAGTTCGTAGGCATAGCTGTATTCTAAACCAGCCTCACTGCTAGCCTATAAATACTTTTTAATAATACAGCTGCTGTGTGTTCTTCTACCAGAATTAGTTTATTAGCATTAAACAGAAAACAGCAATATCCTTATCCTATCCTTCTTAATTTATTCAAAATTTACTATCACATGCTACCGACAATTTGCTGCTACCGAAAAGAGGATCCAGCTAAAACTATTATCCCTATATTAATTCACATGGCTGTACACAGAAATTTAATCGGGGGAAAGGGGATGTCATTAAACACACACACAAAGAAATAAACAGCATTACATTCATCAAAATGACTAAGTTCTCGTGCACAAAGTTATTGGGGGTCTGCTTTCCTCACTTGTGCATGCCCCCGTTAATTCACATTATGTGTTTGCAAATTTGTTAATAAATTCGTTTGTTTATCTACAAATTCCTCTCACAGTTTTGGAGGCAGCAGGTACAAACTTTGAAGGCAAACCAAAGTTGAACCAGGATTGTTCAAATTTATGTGATATTCCACTTATGAAAAAGGTACTAAAAATGCCCATGGGAAGTCATCCAAGCATGATGGGGTCTAGGAATAGATCTGATGAGTTGTTTTAACAGAGTAAATTTACACCAATATGGAGTAACAACTATGATACTCCTTCAAAGATGTATAAATTCTATAAATGATCAAAACGTGTATGATTTTAAGTACTCCAAAGTTATGAATGTATATGCTGTAAAGCTTAAAATTTTTCAGGTAGTAGCAGAGCTGTTACTCCCAAAATACTAAACTATAAATCAATGAAATACCTATTGCAATTTATGTGTAATTGGATTAAGAAAAATCATAATTAAAAACAGCTATTACTCAATAAGAAATTGTACAATATTTCCATCAAAGATACACAAGAAAATCAAATTGGGATTATAATTTCTACCTTGAATTAAAACAAAAACATACAATTAATAAAGTAATACATCTTTCATAAATTGCTCTTTATAAAAAACTTAAAATCAGTTTTAAATAAGATGCTGATATTGGCATGAATTTCAGGCAGACAAAATAATGTTCTATAAAACACTTTCTTGCTGTAGCACTTGTTGAAAACTCAGTAAACAAAAAAAGATGTAAAAACACTAATTGATCCTAAAGGCTCAAGTAAAATTTCTTTTTCTACAGCTAGCTTCAACTCATTGCTTAAGAAACTGTTTTCTCCTGTGTATAACAATTCAGTGTGGATGGACAATCCGGGTCCTACACAAAAGATACTATGTTTAACAAGATTATGCTATTACAATACACATTTCTAACAAGTAAATTTATCTTTAAATATCTTTTATGCATATAAATCTCAATTTATGAGAGGAATTTTTTTCATATTATTCTTTATACTTTATACCAAAATTCTTTCATTTCAGTAAATAATATTGTATATAAAAGGTATAGACATCACTTGTATAAACTCATTTTTTCAAATAATAAACTCACAACTAATTTTCTTATTACATTTTACTATAGCATATAGATTATATTAGTATAAAGGTTTTTATTGTAAATAATCAATACATAAATTACCTACATTTTCTACATAAAATTATTTCATGAATATCATTATTCATGAGCTATATTTTCAACAGTAAAAAGAGATACAGATCTCAAATTACCAGCAGAAGCAACAAGTATTAAAACTCTGTATTACAAATTATACAAAGCAGAAAATAGGTTAAGTTAAATATACTATATCTACAGAACTTAATCTAAACCAAGATGTTTCAAATCAGAATACAAGTTTTGTCACATTGATTTATATATGCTGAAACAAGCAAACCACATATTAGCTAGTGGCAGTAAATATACGTACAGTAGTTAACATATTGTAAGTGAGCATGGTGTGCGAACTGATCCTGACAAGGTGAAAGCAGTATGTGATTGGCCAATACCAGACAATGTGGGAGAGTTAAGAAGTTTCTTGGGACTCTGTAACTATTACCAGAAGTTTGTGAACGACTTGGCAACTATAGCTGCTCCACTACATGATCTGACAAAAAAAAAAAGGGCGAGAAGTTCGAATGGATAGTTTCTTGCCAGCATGCTTTCAAGTCGTTGAAAGAAAACTTGGCCTCAGCTCCACTTTTGAAACTTTCAAATCCCTCACTGCCGTACATACTGGATTGTTATGCTAGTAATATCGGAATTGGAGGAGTGTTGTCTCAGAAAGTGGGTGAAAACGAACATGTGGTGGCCTACTTCAGTAGGGTCCTGAGTACACCAGAGAGGAACTACTGTGTAACATGGAGGGAACTCCTTGCTATAGTAAAGAGTCCGACATATTCCCATCCTTATCTCTATGGCAACAGGTTTGCCATC